CATTTATGTGTATGTGGTAATCATGTGTGTGTGTTCACATGTATGTGAATAGCATGTGGGTGTGGGTAAGCATGCATATGTGTGTACATGTTTGTAGAGGCCAGAAGTTGGTTGTTGGGCATTTCTCAACCTCTCTTACCTTATATATTAAGGCTTCTCGTTGGCACCCAGAACTCCTGACTTCCTAGAATACCTAGCCTCTTTGCTGAAATATCCTCGGGTATACCTCCCATGTGCTAGGTAGGGTTACACATGAGTCACCCTGTCCACTGGATCCCAGCTCCAGTCCCCATGCAGCCTGTGATCTCACCTGCAGAACCATCTCCTCCAGCCCCAAGAGATAAATGTAAGAGATTACAGATGTGAAGTGGATAAGAACATGGTTTGTACTGTTTCCGTGGAACAGGAAGTGAAGTCACAACTGATTTTCTGACTTGCCACATACACTAGCATCCTCTCCTCCTCTGTCTTTTCAGACAGCTTGTATGTATCTTGATGACTAGATATCCTGCAGGCTAGATCACAAAAAGGAAGGAATAATTCAGTTGCTGGTATCTGGAAATACTGTACTGAATTCAAGAAGCAATGAATGAGAATGAAATAATTACAAGTGGAAAAAAAAACCACAGTGGAATTTAATTCTCCTCCTGATGAACAGTAACACGCTGAACACTATACAAGACAACAAGAAATTCATTAGTGGCTGAGTATTTAGGGAACTCTGGGACTAAACTTTACCAGATCAACTCATTCTTTCTTTTCTGCTTTCTAAAACAGGGAGACAGCCCCAGACTAGTGGAGAATCAATGATCACTGTTAATTTGGGTTCAGAAGTTCCAGTTACTATGTGGTTAACATGATGTGAAACAAAGACAATTTAGTGCCCCAAACATTACATGGAGTGTTGAGTCTTAGTAAAAATTTATTAACTGGCCATCTATAGTTTTACTAGAAGTGTTCTGTTTTACATAGTTAAAAGATAATCAAATTAAATCTACTATGACTTAATATAAAGTGCATGGATATCACTGAGATTAACAAAATCTGAAATACATTGAAGAAGAGTCTACAAATGGTTTATTATTTTTTTAAAAAATCATGCTTTTAACTTATAGCAAGTATAATTTTTGCTGTTCACTAGGTAATTCTAGCATGTGTCCTTAAAATACAGCTATATCTTACTTTAATTTTTTAACATACTTAAATGAGATCTACGCTTAAGTTTAAAGTGTGCAGTATATAACAGTTGATGGAGGTCTGGAGTTGTGGAGCCCGTCTCTAGGGCTGGCTCAGCATTCACACAGAGCTTAATTTCTACTGACTGTTCTTGGCTGACAGTAGGGAAGTTTTGCCTTTCTAAACATTGGCACTGAAATCCTACATCCTGTAAACTGGAAGGAAACTTTAATACCTGCGGATTTTAGATAGCATTCTTGGAGAGCTGATAACAAATTTTAGGTAGTACATCTACTGTAAGTCTTGAATCTCCTAGCTATTCCATGCATTTTTAAAAACTAAAATGGCCACATCCCAGTCAGAGGTCCGCCCTTCTTCTTCTTTAGCTGGTCCTCCAGCCACAGCCGAGGACAAGGACCAGGTGTTGAGGATGTCTTCTGATTCTCTGACCCACAGACATGGAAAAACATCTAACCTATTCAGGAATTTCTTTCTTGAAATGCTATTATAAATTACCATAAACTTAGTTTTGGTTAGTCTTTATTGTGTGATGAGATTTTTTTTTCCAGGGAAGATGAAACACACTTGTCCACTCTCCCAAAATAATGTTCCCACAACAGACCAAAATAAGAATACCACCAAAGTCCAGCTTGGTGAACCAATGAGTTTTATGGGTGATGTTTACAGGAATGTGGGTGTGGAATTACTTACAGGAGCCGAAATGAATCAAAGAGAGCTGTATCACCAAAGCCCCTCCAAAGCATGGGTGACAGCTCACAAAGCTGGGAAGCTGGAGCACACTGCACAGCCTGCAGGAAGCTGAGCAGTTTCAGAGTGTCCTTTCCAGTTGCCTCAGTTGCTCGAAACATCTTCCAGGCATTTTCTTGACAGAAGACCTTCTTTGTACCTTGGCTCTGCTTATTGTGGTAGGAAAAGACCTGGAAAATCTAACCAGTTTCAGTGAGTTCTTTATTTGTTTGTTTGTTTTGCCTTGTTTTGTTTCAAAACAGGGTTTGTCTGAGGAAAAGTCCTGGCTGTTCTGGAACTTGCTTTGTAGACCAGGCTGGCCTCAAACTCACTGAGATCTGCTTGCCTCTGCAACTCTGAGTGTTGGGATTAAGGGTGTGTACCATCACTACCTGGCTAGTTTCAGAAAGTTCTTAAAGCAATTTTGGGGGTTAGGGACTGTTTAACTCTTGCTTAAGGAGCTCTCCTGCAGGACGGAATGTTTTGATCTTGGAGAAGACTTTTACAAAACAGTCCTAGAAGCCGTATTTCCAAAATCACATTCACTGGATAGAAACCAGCATGAAACCAAAGCTATGTTCCCTCCAGAGAATCTGTGGGAGAAACTCTTCGATGCTCCTTCTGGCTCCTGGTGTCCTCTGCCACTGATTGGCTTGTAGCCAACTGCTGTAATCTTGGCCTTCAAGTACATTTTGTTCCTCTCTGTTAACTCTCCCTTTGCCTCCCACCCATGAAGCCATGTGATCTCATTTAGGGTCCTCAAGGGTCAAGATAATCTCTCCACCTGAAGATATTTTACTACATCTCCGAAGTCATTCATCATTATAGGCAACATTCAGAGGTGGGAGCTGGGACTTGGCTAACCTTGGTGTCCACCGGTCTGTTGATGACTTGAAGGTTGCCTTACACATGTACCCTTGTTTCTGGAAGTCAAACATTAGCCTGGCAGTGTGCTCCATCAAAGGCAGTATAGCTGGGGTGTCTTTCACAGATCATGAAGGACCTTGTCTTGGTTAGGGTTTCTATTGCTGTGAGGAAATAGCATAATCACAAAGCAAGTTGGAAAGGAAAGGGTCAATTTTACTTACACTTCTAGGCCACCATAGTCTGTCATTGGAGGAAGTCAAACGGGGCAAGATCCTGGAGGCAGGAGCTAATGATACAGAAGCCCATGGAGGGTACTGCTTAGTGGCTTGCTTCCCCTGGCTTGCTCAACTTGATTTCTTACAGAACTTAGGACCACCAGCCCAGGGATGGTATCTCCCACTATAGCCCGGGCCTTCCCTGAGTCATCACCAATTGAGAAAAGGCCTTACAGCTGGATCTCATGGAGGCATTTCTTCAACTTGGGCTCCTTTCTCTCTGATGGCTGTAGATTGTCAGGTGGACACACAAAAGTAGCCAGTACGAACCTTGAATCCAAGTTTGAAGGCTGAGTTATTCCACACAGACAACCTGAAATGCTAAGATATATCACGTTCCCTCCCATATTTTAAATCAAGGTTATAGTGTTGATGGTGTTACCAAGAGTTTTCGATCTAGGGACACATGTCTATGTCTGTCTCAATAGTCCACCAGACTTCTATTCAGTTTCTGGCAATGCAGCTAAAAAAGGATAAATATATATGTTTTTTCACATATTTGTTCCTTAATAGGTATATGACATTGTGATAAGACAAGTGTTGTGCTGGTCAAGACCGAGTAGGTTGCTGGGAATCCAGTCCTTGCTACAATGATTAATAAACAGCTTTTTGATCCCCCTTCTCCTCCTGGTGTCATCCATAAAATGTCTAATGAGCGGAGCTCTTCCAGCAGTGCTGGCTGGGGGCTGGTCTCTTAGTAAGCATGAGCTGCTGTTTGTTTCGAGGAAGAAACTAAAGGGATTAGGTTATCTGGGTGAGTGGCTGGGGCACGATATAGGCAGAGAAATTTTATTATGTGTAAGAGTTAAGACAATGAGTGCACCAAGACCTTTAAGTGGTTATTATTTTATTTCTTAAAACTCTTAAGAAAGTGAGACTAAAATAAGAGGTAAAGAGAACAATGGTATCATTCTAAAAAGAAAGGTGTCGTCTGGGTGGTTTTCTGTGGTAGCGGTCCTTAAAGTCATTGTGGCTGGGCAGGTGGGCATCCAAGTGCCCTGTTAAGAAAGGCCCAAGGACTCAAGCTTGTGCATGTGTGATACTTGGAGTCCTTGCTCTAGAAAAAGCTTTAAAGTGTCACATTTAGTGATAACCCAAGTTATTAACCCTGCTAAGTCTCATCATAGTATGAGAAATCACTCAGCCAAATGTAAAACGTCTCTGGGTTTCTACAGGACTAGGATTTGGGATACAGCCAAGCACGCAATTAAACTCCTCATTTCAGTGTGATATAAAATGACCAAAGTTTATGTTCATAAGTTAGGGGCAGTTTTGAGCATCCGTGAATTTACACTATGTCTTGAGGCTTACACTAGAGGCGACTGACAAAGTTGTAACAGCGAGGCAGAGAAGCCTCCGTGGCTAAACCTATGAGGAGGCAGCCCTCAGGACGGAACTTAAGACTTTGCAGGAAGAAAAAAGAAATAAGCCTACTAATAAAATATTCCTACAGAAAAAAACTACAAAGACAAAAAATAAAATGCATGCATGCATGCATGCATACATACATACTACGTACATACATGCATACATATAAAAGGAAATAAAGTAGGCTGATTTGTCTGAAATGATGCTAGAGATTTTGGAAGGTTTTCTGCAAGAGGCAACAACTGGGCTGATGGGTCAAAGCCAGTGACTAATCAGTGATTGATTCCTGGGAATAAACACATCTCTATAATATTGAAAGTAACAATGCGTGGCTCAACAACAGCAAGAGCAAAATACATCTTTACACATGATATACAGCATACAGCACACATTACATCGCAGTGACACCACCAACGGGAGGACCTAGGTGCTAAGGTTGGGCTTGTGGAAGGAAGGACCCAGCACCTTCCAGCCTGAGTCCAGAGGTTCCCAGGCGGGCGGGGACCATCGGGGGAAGTTGGAGCTGGGAGCGAGCGCTGAAGCACGTGGGCTGAGGGGGTGGGAGGACGCCGGGCGGCGGAGTAACCGGTGAAGTGTCAAAGAGACAGGAGTGGAGGGCTGCGGGGGTGACAGGGTGTGGTCTGCCTGGAGCGGGCGACGTGGGAGAGCGGGGCAGAGGCCTGGGGCTGCGGATGGTGCCGCGGCGTGCCGGGTGCGGGGGACAGCGAGCAGCTGAGCGAAGGCGAGGGTGTCCAGGCTCGCCAAGTGCCCAGCTCCAAGCTGCTCCAGCGCCCTCGCGGACTGCGGGGCCGGACACCTGCGAGTGAGGAGCGAGTGGCGCTCAGTCTTCCCGGCAAGTAAGTGTCTCTTGTCTCCGCCGCCCGCGCCCTTCGCTGCCCACTCGAGCTCCCGGAAAGCGCGCCGGGCTCGGCGGCATCCAGTGACGCTCCCGCCGCGGGCAGAGACCACGGATCCGGGATAGGGACCCAGGAGCCGGGATGGGGACCAAAAAGAGAAGATCAGAACCAGGGAGAGGGAATTGGGACTAGGGAACTGGAATTGGGACCAGGAAGCCGGATTGTGGACACGGAAGCGGGAATGGACAGTGGGGAGAGGAGACAGGGACCCACCCGAGGCCCCGCCGCTCACCCCGGCGACGGCACAGTGGCAAGCTCGGATGTTGCCCATCTTTTGTGTCTTACCGGATCCCAGAGACATGCCAGGCCAGGGGCGGGCCAGCGGAAGCCACTTTAAGGCTCCCGGCCCCACCTCTTTCTACCCCACAGCTCTGGGGATTTCAGTGTGGGCCACGGGGCGCCGGTGCCTGTCAGAACCCGCGGGGCCACTGGTAGGTGGTGGCTGGACCACCCCGCAGCACCGCTGGGCTTACGTTCGTTTTAGGTACAGCGGCTCTAACTGGTGGGTGTTGGGAGGCTGGGTTGACTCGGGAGCTCAGAGTCTCTTGCAGCGAACCACTTGCCTCCAGGTTTTTCTTGGGGTCTGGAAGGGCAGGGTGGGGAACCAGAACCCAAGGCCCGGGCGGGCGTCCCGCTCCCAGGCTCGCGCTAGCAGGTGCTCACTGGGTGGGTCCCTCGTCTGGCTCATTGTTCGCGGTGACTGTTCTTGGGGCCAGGATGAGCGACACAGACAGAGCTCACTAGGTTAATAAAAGTGTTGACCTGAAGGAGTGAGGGTCGGAGTCGTCTTGCCATACATTTTTGGAAAGGGACTTCTTGGTTCAGAGAGCAAGAGTAGTCGACAACCGAAACCGTCTCTGAGTGCAAAACTTAGATCTGACTGATTCAGACATACAGCCCAGCGAATGGAGCTTCGGAAGCAAGAATGATATCCACTCCCGTATTGAAATTGCTTTCAGAATAATGAAGGTGGAGTTTTAAGCATTTGGGGCAATTGGCTGTTTTCTCCTGCTTGCACCTGTTTCCCTGTTCTTGGGCGGGGTTTATTCTTTTTCTGGCCCTTTCCCTCTCTTTGTGAATTTGCATTCATTCTTTTTGTACCTTCCAGTAGTAAGATTGCATGGTTCTGGGAGAGGAGTCCCTTTTAATAAACAAAGTGTAAGTTCCTCTGTACATATGACCACACAGTGGTTTAGAATCCATGGCTCCCCACCCTAGCCCTGATGTTAGCATTTAAGGATGGAAGTAGATCCAGAGGCAGAGGCATAGGGAGCCTCATCTCCCTCCTCTCCTCTTTGGGGAGCCCCAGGACACTTTAAGGAAACCCTTCTTTTCCATCATAGCATATACATCCTTCTTTGGCTTCCCCCCACTATTTACCTGACAATAATATCACCTGTTTATGGTGTCAGTGACTTAGTCCCTGACCTAAGGATGCATTTGTCCCTGCTTTTCCTAAGGTGCACAGCTCTTGGCCAGAAGTATTAAAATATCATTTTATGTGGGTATCGAATGCACACATATTTATGCATATGCATTATGTATCTGTAGTCGGTCGTGATAGCAGTAGTGTCTGACAAACACCACTGCCCTTCTCCCTGGATTTGATGTTGTTGTGCCCACGACCTGCTAAGGGCATTGTCTGCTGAAACCTGGAGTTCAGCCCTCAGGAGAAATACCTCATGTGAACATTTCTCTGGCCATAGCTTCTTTTGCTCTTGGAGGGAAGAGGAATAGATGGGGACGTGTGGGTGTTGATTGTAGTATGAAAAGCTGGAGGACTGATCCAAGGCTGTGAAGTGTGAATTAGGTAGATGATAAGTAACAGTGGAAACCTGGGCATGCGTCTCAGTTCCTCAGACACACATGTAAAGAATAATCTGTTCTTCTCTCTCCCCTGTCACTTTTAATGCTTCTAAGCTAAATGTTTTTTATGACAACATTGCTTTACTTGTATTATTTTGTTAAGAAGAACTTTGGCTATAGCCTACTGTTACATCTTATTTTGGACACTGTGCTGCCCATCCGATGCACTGAATTATCCGTACAGGTTTTCTTTTGTTTGTATGCACTCAAGTGTCCAAGTTAAGGCAGGAACAAATGAGCAATGGATCAGCCAAGTTCTAATGAAGATTAAGACATGAAAGTTATCCAAAGCTACGTTCAAGTCGAGCAGTCATTTAACCACCTCCCCACATGACCGATTTCAGTTAGTAGCTTCTTCATCTTCCAAAGTCTCCAGACGCTAAATTCTACTCAGATTGATGACTACACTAAATCTTGATTGTAAAAGAACAGAACTTAATTATTTGGGTCTCATTTATCAGTCAGCAATATTTAGTTAGCACTGCCAAAATAATTATTTCATTGAAAGATGCCTGACTTTAATGTGTGTTGGGAAAGGTCTTTTTAAAATGTGTTTCTTCATAAAGGAAAAACCAACTCCTTAGAAAGCCATAATTTCACTGCTTTGAGGCCCTGTAGCCATTTTATTTATTGAGTTTTCTCTTCCACAGGAAGAAAGGGGCATTGTTTTGTTGTCTAGGAGCTGAAGGAAGATAGAAAGTGAGAAGAGAAGAAAAAGCAGTTAAAAATGTTACCTACTTTTCAGAGGAAGAAAATGTGATTTCAGCAACTGCTATTTGTTTTCCTAAAGGCATACTAAAGTCATATTAAGGGCCATTAGCAAGCTTTGAGTATTGACATGTTACTGCTAAAATTTCATGAGACGTTTCTAGAAATAAAATCTGTACTTTTAAACCAATCTGGGGACATGTTCGTCCTTCTATAAATTATGAAATGCTACTGTTATGGAAACATTGAAATTTCATCAAATATATATTGGAGTGCACTGTCTTTTCCCAGGCGCTCTCATTGTAATAGCTTGTCCGTCGAGATTTAAAAGAACATCATTGATGTCATGGTGTGCTTTGCATTTTAAAATAGCAGCTAATGAATTACAAACATTCATTACTCTACAACCACTTGTTGTAATTTCTCAGGACCCCCAGATAGAGAATTATTTGTACTGTACACGATCATTGAAGTCTTTGCTGAGTCTATGTCAGGCCACTTGTCTTCAGAATGAATAGCCTTTTAAATCAATACTTCTTAAACCTGAGTCTTTTGATATTTTCCCTCTGTGTCATAAGTGTATGGTAAATATGTTCCACATAGCCTGTATGAAGGAACATACTGTTGAACACTTGGTAGGTTATTGGTGAGGGAAGCAGTGAAGAGAGAAGGAGCGTAAGTTCCATTAAAATTTGAGTCAGAACTTAGCAGTCAGGAAGCAGAGCAGCTTTTCCTGAGTAGAATGCACTAAGAAACTCTTCTGGACCCATAAATCCAAGCCCATGCCGAGCATTTGGCTCCCACAGACTCTACTTTGCTAAGCAGAAGCCCTGCCTTTGCTGGCTACATTTGACTGTTGGCTTTGGCTTCCCATAGATATCAAAGACTCAGTTTTCTTGTACTGTTGTGGGGAGGACGACTGTTCCCTTTATGGAAGAATGAAGTGTGTCAGTGTGTGTTTCCAGAATATTTAAGTAAAACCTTTTTGGTTTCCTTCCATGGCTGCTCACTAGATGTTCATTAAACAAGAGATGTTTGACGTCATTTGCTTGAGTAGACCAAACCAGAAATGTTAGTCAAATGACTAAACGATGTTCATTAAAATAGTACTTTCAGTTTCCTTTGATGTAAACTAATTGAAGAAAATATTATTGAGTTAAAAGTTGAGTTTAAAAATCAACAATGGTTTCTATTTCTTTTAAGATGAAGAGCAACTTAATTAATGAGAAGGAAAGCTTTTATAAGATAAAGACTAAGACAGTCAATTTAATAATTCATGATATATTATATATCCTTTTAAAGAAAATAATGTGTTTTCAGGGAACTAATGTAGATTTCTTAAGTGGCTGGAGACAAATGATCGGATCTACAATGCTGCTCTTTTTCTCCTTTTTCTTATCTTGCTTGGTTTATCTCTCATTTTTCTCTGTCAGGATACATCCTTTTGTTTTCAATTGTGGAATGAGAGAGCTCATCAACGTAGATGTAAAGAAGTACTTAGAACAGAATCTAAACGGGTCTAAAAGGAGGATTAATGGTGATAGAATAGTAGCCAAGCCAAGAGATAAACTCTGATCCCAAGTAGTCTCGATTCATGGTAGCTGTATCTTGTCTGAATGAAGATGTGAGAAACGATTAACAATTGTGTCAACTTATGCATACATCTATAGCATTAAAATGAAACCCCAAGGCCTGATCTTGATGACATCGAGTACACACTTCCTAGTGGAGCACTCTCATTGCAAGCCCTATGCAATACAGCAAAGCAGCCACATTTTCTATTAGAAGGATTTTTCCTAGGAGTATGTAAACTTCCAGCATTCTCTAGAGCTGAGGACGAAAAGCAATGCTGGGGAACTACTATGATGCTCCGAGACTGGAAGCTCAGGCACTCTTTCTTTTTTAAACAAAAACAAATTTATTTTTATGTGTATGAGTGTTTATTCTGCGTGAATGTTTGCTTACTACCTGTGTGTAGTGCCTGAAGGGGGCAGAACCTGGGACTAGGGTTAAAGACAGTTGTTGGCCTCCATGTGATTGTGGGGAATTGAACCCCAGCCTCTCTCTGGAAGACGAATCAGCCCTCCTAACCCCTGAGCCATCTCTCTAGCTCCTCAAATTCTCCCAGCTTCTCTTTATGTTTTCCCTTCTCTCCTCATTCTCCTCCCATTCTTCCTCTTACCTACTCCTGTTCCCCCCTCCTTCCCTCCTCTTGTTCCCCCCTCCTTCCCTCCTCCTGTTTCCCCTTCCTTCCCTCCTCCTACTTTCTCACTTCCTTCCCTCATTGGTTTTTCTACTTGCTACTTGCCTGACACTGATTGGTAGGTGTGGCCATTCCAATAGCAAGTTTGCCCCACCAGGCTGGC